AAAAAAATGAATTAATTAAGAGAAATGGAAAGAGCAGAACGAAAGAAATTGTTCTGCGGCCAAGTGTCGTGTGACGAAGTGATCGGTCACCGTTGATCCCTTCATGCCCCACACCCACACCCTCAAGAATTTTAGGTCCGTGATTGACACTCCATTCTTAAAGCTACAAAAAAGCATTAAATATTTTGTGTTTACATATAAACTAATTACTTCCACGCCTTTAAGTTGAATGAATTCACTCAGAGTCTGATACCAAATAGGTTTATTTCGGAAAAGTATGTTGACTATTTATTTGTAGAGAAAGAAACAATATTGAAAATGTCTTCCACACAAGAAGATAAAAACGGTAAGTGTTGATGACTTTTCATGCATTATTAGAAAAATTCATGGTGTATTTGGCACCATTCATCGAAAGATTTAATACAAGGAATCCTTTTATCTAATGGAAGCACATGTTTTTCTTTCGGTAGATAAATCTTGGCTCAAATGTCAGTTTCATGGTACCGATCAAACATCGATTAAGAAGCCTGATGAGCTCGGAATCAGCCAGAAAGATTTTGCCCCGTTGTCAGCCAGCAGTAACAGTCTGCTGAATCGTATTCAAGGTTCATTTTTTGGTTTGACCATTGGCGATGCTCTTGGAGCTCATGTTGAATTCAGGCCCTACAGTTATTTGGCTGCTAATCCAGTGAAAGATTTAGTAGGAGGAGGAACGTGGGGTCTACAACGAGGACAGGTTAGAAAATCTAGCAATAGTAATTGTATAACAGTTGCCTTTTATAGTTTACTGACGATACTTCTATGGCACTTTGTCTAGCCAATTCATTAATTTCTTGTCAGGGTTTTGTTCCGTACGACCAGTTAGTTCGCTACAAGTGGTGGTATCGACATGGTTACATGTCATCGACTGGGCATTGTTTTGACATCGGTGCCGCCACCCGAACGTCGATCGAAGAATTCGAAACACGTCAGAGAAATTTTGCATACGATCATGACATTCTATTGGACGAAATGGACTCTTTATCCAACTGTGATCTTCTACAAGCATTCGATGTGTACTGTAGCAAGGAAAATGTAGCTGGTAACGGAGCCCTAATGCGTCTCGCACCTGTACCGCTCTTCTTCTGGCAGCGTCCAGAAGTGGCCGTTGACTATTCTGGCATTAGTGGAAAAATCACTCATGGAGATAAAAGAGCTTATGATGCATGTTGTTATTATGGAGCTCTTATTGTAGCTGCTCTTAAAGGAGAAACAAGAAACCAATTGACTAGTGAAAATTTTTACGATGAGCATCGGGAATGGTTTGGCGATCAAGACCTTCACGCTGAGATAATAGCCATTACTCGTGGTTCATACAAAAAACCAGGTGGCTATCAAGATGGAATTCGAGGCAAAGGATTCATTGTGAATGCTCTGGAAGCTGCTTTGTGGGCTTTTTGGAGTGATGGAGACTCATTTGAGACAGGTGCACTTAATGCAGTTAATCTTGGTGATGATACAGACACAACAGCAGCCATTTATGGTCAGTTGGCAGGTGCTTACTATGGCTACAAGAAACTGCCAAAAAAGTGGTTAGATTGTATCTATGCCAAAGATTTCATTCTATGTGTAAGTAGCTGGATTGCCTATGAAGGGGAAATATGGTTCAAAAATCAAAAAGTTCCCGGCATAAGTACACTTATAACTTCTTTTGATAACACTTTGCATAATTCGAGACCAAGTGAATCTATCAATTTGACGACACAACGCATGCGTGCAAGCCTTGAAGCCACTTCAGGTTTAGACATAGCGTTGGGCGCAATTGTACGCAAAGCTATCGATCCTAATGGTCATATTGGAGATTTTTATGATGGATGGCAAGATTGTGTCGTAAGATCAGTTGGTATGAAATTGAACGTAAAAGAAGGTTACCAGAATCCACCAATAAAGTGTGAGATAAAAAGTGGCGACAAGCTGGAAAATCAGAACGTTCTTCGATTCATTGACTTTCCTACTGATTTTCGATTGAGTGTGTTGTCGAATTTGGTTACATCGACAGGTATTGCTTCGGTTGTTGACTATCCATTT